GAGGCGCGCCAGGCGGGCAGGGTGCCAGCGCTCCACCCACTCACACACTCAGCCGCTCCCAGCCGGACATCGTGCGACTCGTCAGTCTGTCATACGCAAACACCAGGGGATCAAGGTTCGATCCCCGCCAAAGGCGTGCGCCAGAGAGAGAGAGTCAAGGATATCATTCATGATACATCGTTAAACAGAAAGTGCACAATTTCGGAAAAATGCTGGTCTTTTATGCAGGGAAATTAAGTCTCTCTTAGGAAGAAAAACGAAAGACAATTTAAATCTAATGAACTTAAAAACAATGACGACTCTGAAGTCCTTTCTTATGTGCCCTGGTCTGGCAAGAGAGCTCGAGAGAGCGGACTGCGCAGTCCTTACGGTCCTTACAAGCAGCAGGCTCTTCCAAGTGGCACTGCTATGCTATGAGCGGGCAGGCAGCACCGGGAGGTGAGGGTGAAATCCTTCCTTTTAGGTGGGAAAGACGCTTACACGGTCGGAAAGCAAAAGAGAACGGCGACTCTCTAGGGGGCGTGGCGGGGGCGTGGCGGGGCGTGGAAGGGGCAGTGAAACCGTACAGGTCTGGCCCCAGCGCACAGAGGGGGACAAAACACACACCCAATTACCCGGCTAAACATCTCTCACACACACACACTTGCGCACACACACACACACTTCAAAAAGCATTTTAAACGAAATTTGTACTACACCACTGTATTAAGAGCGAAGAGTGTTAATGAATACAAAAATGAACCACGTGCTACAAAAGGCTTTCTTACAGTACAGAACGAGATACAGAAGCTAATTTTAATTCTTTATTGAAACGCTAGTGCTTTTCGATCAATTCCAAGTGGATACGAAATGCGTGAAGATTTGCAATATCAAAGAGTAATTTTCCCCGTTAACCGACCATTTTTGCACAGTGGAGCGCTGGTGTGGTGGCTGCTGCAGCGCCCCGTCGTCACACGTCACACCTTGGTCCCTGCCGTCCTCCCTCAAGGCCCTGCTCGCCTCGGTAACGAGTTGAGACGGCCGCCGTCAGGCCGCGCGCCCCGGCCCGCCCCACCCCGGCCCACCCGCCGACCCCTGACGGGCGCCAGTCCTCTGCTAATAAGCATCTAGTCCCATCCCAGACTTATCAATTAGCACGGATTTGATGCAGTCGGGGTGGGCCGTAGGTTGGTGGTGGTGGGGCGCCGCCGCCACCACCATCAGCAGCAGCAGCACCACCTCGTAATCCACCAAGGTTCAAACTGGACTTAATCAAGGCTTCTGTCACCGCCGGCCCGGCCCGCAAGCCGTCCCGTACCCGGCCAGAGGAGAGGGGTACACTGCTGGGAAACGCAAACGATGGCATCGAACGGCTATGCCCCGATTCTCTGCGAAAGGCAAAAACGACACAAAGGGGGCGGGCCTCTCGGCCGGGGCGCGGGGCGGGCACCCTGTCCGCGCGCAAAGGGTCCTCGCCGGATAATCCTCCTTGTCTCGAGGACCCTCAAACAGCGCGCGGCATTGTCGGCGCAAAAATCTCTATTTACCCGTCCCATTTTAAAGTGATGAGAGCGAAAAGCACCGGGCGCAGCAAGCAGGAGCAGCGCGCAGGCAAATATTTCTTCAAAGAAGAAGAAGAAAAGGGGGGGATGTAATTCCCCCACGCACCCCAACCCTCGTCGCGGCTGCGGGCATCCCGCGTCCTCCACGACGGCACGGGGGTCGTCGCCGAGGCTGAGAAATAGACTTTGCGCAGCCGCCGCGCTGCAGCGAGAGCGAGCAAGCGAGAGCGAGCAAGAGAGAGGAGCGGCGCATGAATAAAATAAAACGTAATCACCCCTGTTAACACATCATTGTCAAGCCTTTTGCTCGGCTGATGGCCGCGAGGAGGAGGCGGTCCGCGCGCGCCGCCCCCGTGCCGCCCCCGTCACGCCGCTGGAGGCGGCGCGGGGGCGGCGCGCCCAGAATAGAACAACACTGCGAGGGGCGGCGTGCAGTCTGCACCGCGCAAAGTCAAGTCCGCTGAGCTGCGCCCCGAAAAAACGGCAACTCAAAGAAAAAACGTTTCCACCTTCTCTGCTGAAGCAAAATATTTTTAATTTTCACTTTGAATGTGTGCAATTTCTCCGAAAAAACGTCGTTTCTTTTCTTCTGTATTTTTTTCCTGGTTTGCTTCCACGACGTTTGCGACGCGCAGATGGAGCAGAGGCCAGCCTCCCCAATCCCCTCGCGGCGGCGTGGCCCTGCCGCCCAAGGCCCAGGTGGGGCTGCTGGTGCCGCCGGTGGCCCGCGCAGATGGCGCCCGGCTCAGGTTGGGGGGCGGCGGGGGCGGCGCGGGTTGACCGTCTTTGTCTCTCCCGGGGGCGGCCACCGGGGCAATTCGCTACACAAATTCGCGCAAATCCAATCACGCTGCGAACATGACGAGGTGGCGGGTCCCATTCCCGCCGCCCCCCAAGTTATGCAGATGGGGCGCCCGGCTGACGTGACGGCCGCCGCCCCGAGATGGCGAGTTTTACCTCGCCGGAATAAATAATAAATAATAATAGTATCAACCTTGTCAGGCTTTGCGCGCGCCCGCCGCGCGCACGCCTTATGCGACGTCCTTCAAGTTAAGATGAAATGGAAATATCTTTCCTGTTTTTCGCTTCTCTTCCCAACCGGTAGAATACGCTTGCACCGCGGCGTGGGCTGCTTGAGGCAAGGTTGGCATCCTATTATAGTGTCGAGAAGACCCCGCGCGTCGCGTCCTATTTCACGTGGCGGCCCGAGTGACTGACGCAGTGGTTAGTGCGACGACGCCACGCACACCGAATCGAAACGTCGAATCGACGTGGAATCAATGTCGGCGTCAGCCCCGTCTCCCTACCGTGTTTGCGCCGATGAGCACGTGTAATCCAGACCCTCCCGGGTGGTGGTGGTGGTGGTGGTGCTGGTGGGGAATGGCAGCACCGGCCGGGCACCACCAGCTGGCGGACAGGCTACACAGCACGGCGTCTCACCACAAGCACAGTCACACTACCACACACACACACACGCAGTGACACAGTCGGGCGCGTCGTGGTATTGCCCCACTCGCGATGCGTGATACGCGAGGATGGCGACGACAAGCTGTGCGGCAACGCGCTCAGCGCCTCCCCCTTGCTCTCTGGTCGGCGGCGCGCGTCAGACTGACTCGGGCCTCAGGCGAGCGGGCGCGCCCGGCGGTGGCACGGCCCCCCCCCCCCCACTCCTTTTCCTACCCCAACCCCTTCCCGCCGCTCCACCCAGCAACACACTGCCCCGCTGCTACCGGCGGTACGCGCGCATACCGATGAGACGGCGGGGGAGCCAGCGCAGACCAGCCGGAGACACATTCAAGACCTCGAATGCCTTTTGCAAAGCACGACGCACGACATACCGCCGCAACAGCTTTGCTTTCAACGGCCAGTGTTCTCGTGGCCGCGTTCACAAAAGTTATTTCTGGCGCTCTATACGGACTACGGCTATCATAATACACACTTTAAAAAAAATACTTGCGATTTTACCTACCATGGGCTTGGCAACCCTACACATCAAGCCCAGGGTGAGCAAAATTCCCCGCCCCGAAATTTGCAAATTTCAATGGTAGTATTACGTACCAGAACGCTAGAAAAAAGGATTAAATGCTTTCATATTATATTTCGGGATCAGTACGTTACTAAACTCAAACTCCTGGTGGTGTATGCGTAATGTACTGTTCCCTAAGTCGTAATTAAAAAAAAATTCATCCTAGTCTACAAGGAACGAAAAGATTCGTAATACAAACGAAATTCGTCATATTTCGTAATATAGACATCTCCTCCAAGCCAGTATCGTAACATTTTGTCTGTCTAAATTATCTGGTTTGGATCATTTTAAAAAAAAATTCAAAATTAACAAAAAAATATAGCTTTTATAATATTTTTTGTAGAAACTGAAAGAAATCAGCATTTTGGCCTCAGAGACCTTGTAGAGTACCTTTCAGAACATAAAACCTAAGATAAATAACTCCGTCACTTAAAATTTGGAACGCAAGGAAGTTTCTGGACCATTAAAAAAGAACCTCCATTAGTATTTAAAACTCCTAAAAGCCAAGTTAAAAAGAGGTCAGTTGTAACTATTTAGGGCCACAAATTGTACACAGGACCAGAAATAACAGAATAAAATTGCAAAAGACCTGTATGGAACACTTCCCACTCAAAGTTCCTGAAAAGGTGGTTTTTGAACAAAAACACCATATTTTCATAGTATAGTATGCCCTTAAAATTTAAATTATGGGCAATTACCACCCTCAACCAAGGTCTAAAATTTCCTTGTATTTTTTTGAAAAGATCTTTCCTTGGTTAAAGAATTATTTTTTTTCTGGGTGTAGAAAATAATTCTCTAGCAAGGTTGAATTACCAAGCCCCTCCCCACCACAATAATAACGGCGCACACAGAGTTCTCGAGGTTGAAAGTTTGTATCCTAGGTGAAACGAACAATACAGAATGTCGTATTCTCCCCGTGTGAGCACTATAGGGAATGGCACTCTCATCATCGTTGTGAGCATCGATTGCCCTTTCGACGGTGCCTCGCCAACTTCAACTGGTTCAGAAAGCGCCCAACAAGTCGACAGAAAGGACGCTCCTATGCGCAATATTTCTCGGCTTAGCATTAACCAGAAGCTTTCTGCGATGAGTAAGTTGCGGTAAGATGTGATCTCCTGAACTAAACTGGTGAGGAGCACACATATTGCACACATGTTTTACCACTGTAAGGATTACTTTCATAAAAAATAAATGATGGATTCACCAGAAGTGTAGAACTTGTCGGGATGGGGGTTAAAATGGTCAAGTAGAATATGCATGAAAACTGTACATTGACGAATAAAATTCATGAATTTAATTTGTGTTTTTTGTTTGAAGGTTCTAACGTCTCGTGTGGTCCTGTGCGCCTTGGCTCTAGTTCCGCCACTCTTCCAACGGGTGGAAAATGACTCTGCCGCCTACGCACCGCGCTTGTTCGTGTTTGGCAATGGCGATTAACTGGATTAATTTCTTCGTCGATTTCCAAGGGTCGCCTTGATATATGTGTTTTCTGGGTATACAGATGAAGAAAGAACAGAAGTAAGAGTAAAAAACTAATTTCAAAATTAAAATTAAAGCTGTATCATCTGCTGCCGACTACTGCCACGTTAGTGCAAGCTTAGTTTGTTGTTTTATTTCACCTAATAATGCTTTCGATACGTTCCAACTAAAGGCATTGTTGTTTCAATAGTCACAATGTTGTTTGTATTTGAACCTAACGACGATTTCACCGTGAGAGGGCGTCTGGCAAAGGCCGGGCCGTTCACCTGCATTCCCCTTTCTCCCCTCCTCCACCCCTACCCACCCCCGGGTCGGGGGTCCCTATATTAGCAGCGGAACCTCGGCGAGCGTTTAAACACTTAATTAAACCTGCGGCTGATGACCGCGGCGTTAATACAGGGGGGCATTTCCAGGTCCTGGTGAGCGCGAGGAGGGGAAGGGGGGGGGGGGGAGGGTAACAGTGTGAGAAAGAGAGGAGCGGGTAGAGATCAGCCGAGGAAAGGCGGGTGTAGAAGAGGCACGTCGCAGTAGTTCAACTCGGCACGGGGAAAGTGGTAAACTCTCAAACGACTCCCTCCCCCTCCCCTCCCTGCCAGGTTTAGGCGCAACTACTCCGCTACTACTACAGCGAATATACTTGGTGCCGAGTCGCCGAGAGCTGTAAACGAAGTATAAAGCGTTTTAAAGGCGTATGCGCCTCAGTGACGAAGCGGCGGCGGGGTGATCTGCACCACCCGCTAGCAGCGGGCCCAGAGAGACTTACGTCCGGCTCAACTCTCGACTTTGTAACCTGTTTCACGCTAAGACCCCCCAGTGCGCGCGCAGCCCCGCCGGCCGCCGCTGCTGCTGCAGCGCGGCGTAGGCAGAGAAGCCGGGACGAGAGAAAATAAAAAAGGGAGGAAACTGGACGTTCCGCTGCGCTCGCTTCCCTCTCTCTCGGCCGGGTGTTATATTCGAAGCTTCCTGCCGCTTCCTGCTGCCTGCCGTGCAAAGCAGCGCCTCCGCCGTGGCCCCGGACACACAATGCCCCCCGTTATCGCGGACGTCTGCTTATCGCCAGGAGATAGCGCGCCGGGAACGCCCCCCCGCTTGCAGCCGTGTGAGCCATGAGGTCGACACCATATGGCCGCCCCGGCGGCGGTCGACCTGTCGCCATGAGTCATACCAACACCATACAGCCTCCTTTGTCGCCAGCGTCTTACCTGCAACAAACAAGCAAACACACACTGTCAAGCACACAAAACCACAAGTTGGAACAGTACGCTGTTTGCTGTCGTAAACGGTATGTCATGGACCAATAAATAATGTCTACATTAGGGATTTTAATATTCTACGTTAAAAAAAAATTCCTTATGTATTTGAACTTTTTCTATAAATGTTTTGTTTTTCAAAGTTGCAATTTTGTTTAAAATTTTCGAGACTAAGTTTCAATTTTTTCGGAAAAATGGGATCTTAAAATCCTTCCTTAGTCTGCACTTCACGAAAGTTCAAATATTATTTTTTTACAAATGTTTTAAGACGATGCAGCTGTTGTTGGACCGCTGCAGTATCGCCGAGACACAGCAAGGGCCGAGGCAAGCAGGGCAGGTCAGTTACACCACCGCTACACCACCCTCGGCGGCCCACGGGCCCGCCAGGGCGGCGCGCACGGCGCGGAAATGGAGAATTAATTCATCAAGTTTGTCGCCCGTTAATCGCCATAATTGTCATGTAATTTGCAGCACGGTCCTCCCGCGGGGGAGGGGGCGGAGCAGGGAAGAGGGAGGCTGGGGAGGAAGGAGGCACAGGCGCGAGGGGCCGGGCCAGACACCGGCGGCGGCCGTGTTATCCAACGAGGATTTGCCGGTGAAATATGTACGAAGTTGGTAACCGTGTCGACGTGGTCTGTCTGCGGGGCGGGCGGGGGAGGCCATTGCAGCCAGCGGGGCCAGGAGAGGATAAAGGGACCGGCGCCCCAATCGACCCCCTCGGCCCGGCGGCCGGCCAGGTGTACCAGCCCCTCCACAAGACACTCGACGGTGGCGGTGGTTGGTGGTGGTGATGGTGAGGTCTGGGTGGTCCGGTCCGGAGTCCCTCCAAGAAGTCTCCAGCAGCGTGGCTATTTAATGTCACCTCATACCCAAAAGGCAAGGTTCTTATTGAACCAAGTAAATATCCTCGGAACAAGTCATTTCCTAGACCTGTGCTAGGAAATTGACTTGTTCCAAGGACATTTACCTGGTGCAAGAACCTCGTGTTTGGGGTGAGTGTCACCACATCACATGTTACTGAATGTCATGACAGGTTACTGAGTGACACTACAGGTTACCCAGTGTCAGCACAGGTCACTAAGGGTCAACAAGGAGTGTCAACTCAGCGTGTCACCTTGTCGGATACAGCAGTGTCTCCACAAAAATAGCCTAGGGGACTCTCAAGAAAGAGTCTCCCGACGGAAGTCTCTCGACGAAGTATCTCCAAACGGAGGCCCCCTCCACGACGACGGCGGCCCACCCCGGCCCGATGTCCAGACGGCACTGCGTGTTTGAATACACTCCCAGCCCAGCCCGCACCCCCCGCAGGCACTGTCCCCGCCGCCTGCACAGATTTCCCCAAGCGCCTCCTCCTGAGCGGCCGTGCGGCTCGCCTCGCGCCCACCAAGAAGGCCCCACGGCAAAGTGCTGAACACGTTCAACGGCCAACTGGAGCGCGGGGCGGAGGCAGGGTGGAGGCAGGGCGGGGGCGG